TGATGATGATGATGATGATGATGATGATGACTTTAGTTGTCTATACTTGCGAGTATCTTTAGATGTTGAGCACCCATTTTTCATGGGTTGTTTTCATCAATTTATTTATTTAAGAGGAATTTATGTATGGACCGAAAATAAAGTCCGTTATGACGGAATGCCGCAAAATTGGGCCATTATTACAAAGAATGGAATCTTATTTCTTTTTCTCTTTTGACAAGGTTGCTCCCAGTTTGATGTTTCAAATATCGGACCGCCTTACTTTGAACCTCTCTCTTGACGTAAAGAACGCCATCAGGCGATGAAGCCCACTCATAGTCAGAGCCCGTTGAGTTTCGGAATCTTGATCGGAATCCTCAACGGAAAAGTGGGTTTGGTCGGGAATTTCACGGGAAAAGTGTTTCTTGCTTGAACTAAGGGTGGGGGCAGCCGGAAAAGATGAGTTTCCCACGAGACAGACAGCCTCCACAATGGAGTTTTTTGAAAAGAGAGGGAAAGAAGGATTTGGAGTTGTTTGATCTTCTTTGTTTTTAGAGAGAGAAAGGAGAGACTTGTTTCTGAAATTTCTGTTGGTTTGGAGGAAAAGAAGGTGTTGGGTGAGGCAATAGGGGCATATCCCTTGTTGAGGGGCAAATAGGCCCATCAGGTAGCGTTGGGTGCTCCACTCTTGGGCCATGGTCATGGTGCTCTCTCTCGCTCTCTCTCACTTTCTCTCTCTGTGATAGAAGATTCTAAAGATAGCATATTCCAAGCTTTCTCTCCTTTTTCTCTGTACGAAGATGCCCAAGATAGTAGTCTCTTAGATTCTAAATAAGGCGGACCGAGGTTATGCCGGTAAAATGAAAGGGGAAAACTTAATGGGACAGCGGGGAAATTATGTGGTTTGATGTTAAGAACATTGGACTGGGGTCAAACTTGTCAAAAAAAGAAAAAAATAGGATTTCGTCCTGTGTAGTAATGCCCCAATTTTGGCGCATTTCGTTATAATGGACCTTATTTCCGGTCCGTACGTACATTTCCCTTTATTTAATTTTTACCATTATGATTTTCTATAGAGCACTCGACATGTGCGATGACATCCCCACTCCTCACGAGAAAGATGTAATTATTGAAAATAGTACTTTCAATACTTCAAAAAAGAAAAAAAAGACACAATGATTGAACTCTAACTCCATGTTCATGTCTGGATAATAGGCATGGAGACCCCGTGTTGAGTATTTTTGTTTTAACCCATTGAGATGATTTCTAATTTTGAAAAAACTGGGGTTTTCAGGGCAACAAGTGTGTGTGTGTGTGCGAGAGAGAGAGAGAGAGAGAGAGAGAGAGAGAGAAGAGAGAGAGAGAGAGAGAGAGAGAGAGAGAGAGAGAGAGAGAGAGAGAGAGAGAGAGTAGTAGTACGTAGTACGTACGTAGTACGTACGTACGTAGTACGTAGAGAGTAGAGAGTAGAGTACGTAGTACGTAGTAGTAGTACGTAGTACGTAG